TGAGTATAGAAAGGATCGCTTTGCGCGTGAGAATCAAAGTAAGTCGGATCAACTCACATTAAGAGACCTAGCTGACAATCGTTCAGAATTGGATGCAGCGAATCTCGCTCTACAAAACAAGCTGGACATGATCGAGAGGAAGGCTGAGATTCAAGAAACTGCACTCAAGCGGTTGAACCGAGAGCGAGACATGGCAGTTTCTCAATTGGGTGTGTCCTATCTTGAGTCACAGGACCTTAAAAATGAGGTTGAAGCTCTTCGTCAGGAGAACGCCGAGCTTAAATCCCAATTGGTGAAGTTTGCATCGGGCTCCAAGGATCAGGACGAGACTTATGAGTCCGAACAATCATCTGCAACCGAGATAAGCGACGAAGATAGTCAGTTGGATACACAGGCGAGCAGAAACTTCAGCAGAAGCACTAAAGACCTTACCTCGAAGAGCTCACGCTCCCGATCCAAGGCCGGTCGTCAGGGGCAGTCAAACACGAAGATCTCTACTCAGGTCGACAAGGAAATAGCTCGCTTGGAAAGAGAACGTGCTGAAGAGGCTCTGTTCTCGCTTGACCTTTCGCAATCAAAAGAGAAATCTAAGTCGAGAGCAGAGAAAGCCCGAAGCAAGGCCAGGACTAGCGATGCCACGTCCAAGAAGCAATCTAACACCGGCAAGCAGCGCGTCAAGAGGGTGATTGTGGAGGAGATCGATGTGAGTGAGCCTGTTGACTCCACTGGTGAGGTCACGAATAATACCAAAAAATCTTCGGTGGTGGAACAGGATTTGACGCTTCTGAGCTTCGTGGACGTAAGTTCTTCCTTTAACTTGTTGTGTCCGCTTGTAACTTAACCAGAATTTTCAGGAACGCGAAATCGCCCAGCTACGGAAGACCTTGGAGGAGGAGCGCCTGGCTCGCAAGAAGCGCCAAGCGACCGCTACCAAGGAGTTAGCTGGCAATGAGACTGGGAATACCACCCGCCAGAGCGTGGCAAAGCCCGGAATACCTAGAAAATCATCCCTTAAAGAAAGCAAGGGGCTGCCAGCAAGACCCGCATCAGCAATGGGCGACTTGACCGCCACATCCAAGGCTAGCATGGTTGAAGGAGACAGCAACCTCTCAGTACCTGTTGAACGTCACAGACGTCATTCAGACCATGCTGCGACTACTGCTACTCCAAGGCGGCGACGTCAGATGGCCGAGGAGATGACCTCCGCGTTTATCCTACCTGATATCACTCTTAATCCTGCAAGCCTTGTCGATAATCTGACTAAGCTGCCTAAACCCACGCAGCGTGCGCTTGACAGTGCTACCCAGCATAATGGCAAGAATTGTACCGTCTGTAAGCGTGTCATGCCTGGTGACTCTTGCGATCACTCGGTCGAGACGGTGAAAGTCCCCAAGCCTGTTCCTGTCTCGCAGCGTATGCCTGAGCCTTCAATTCTCAATGAAGATCCTACTATGCGGCCTGCGCAGTCCCCAGAGATTGCCCTAGCAACTGTGCTCAAAGCCTTGGAAGATGAACTGGCACACCTGAAGATACAGCTAGTTGCGTACCAAGGTGCTTACAACAAGCTGGATGCTTCGCTAAGCAAGAGACAACGAAAGTCGCTTGGTGAGAAGATTGAGAAGTTACTGAAAGACATCGACATGAAAGCTGATCAGATCTACGCCTTGTACGATGTACTCGAGGGACAAAAACAGGACGGTCGTGAGATGACCGAGCAGGAAATGGAAGTAACTCTTCAATCTATTGGGATTGACACAGGTGCCGGCCCGACAGGCGATTTGACCGCCGCATCCATCAAGTCCTCCCACAAAGCCCCTGAAACGGAATTTGACGATGACGATGAACTGCCCTGGGAAGGATTTGAGAGCACGATGGAACTCACGGGCCGAAGTGGTGTAAACCATCGCAACTAATCTCAACTACATTATTCCGCTTGCTTTGAGCTTGTGCTCTCTTTCCCTTTCGTGCGAGTTCCACAATTCCTCGATCCCTCCTTTCCCTCCTTCATCGCATGCCGCTTGCGCACAGTCTCTAATTGAGCTGATCCGGGCCCTGACAATGGACTCGGCGTCCAAGCCCAGAACTTCCTGGAGACTTGGTGTCTTCGGCAGCTTTTGGACACTTCTGCGTCCCGGGGGCATGATCTAGAGCTTGCAGCAAAGGGATCTTATTGTTTGTTTACAGTTCTGCGGAACTCTCTTTCACTTCTACATGCCGGGAAGGCCTCCAGGGTTGGATTAGGCGTTGCATTGTGTCGGTTGCTTGGTGAATCATTAGCATTGTTTGAATGGATTGTTACAAGTGTTTCTGTGGTGAGCCAGGGTTGGATAATCATTGCGTTCCTGTGGTCTCGTGCCTGCTAGCTATACAGAGACCAAAAAGTAATAGTGTCGGCAATAGCGTGCCGAAGAAGCGGTCGGAAATACCCAAAGAGGCACTAGTGGCGATGACAAGCTTTAGGCCGAAGACGGCTCATTCTGTCTATTATTCTTTCTTCGCGCCCACATCACTACTGGAGTTTGGATTTCTTTCCTTGCCACTTACTCTCTTGAATGTAGCCGAGTTTCTTTTCGTTTGACCACGCAAGCCTACTGTAACAAAACATTTTCTCTTCTGATGACTTCACCACAACTACATCATGATCACCACAACAGTTTCAGCGGCGATGTAGATGTTCCCACGGATGCGACCGAAGTCAGCAAGGCTGCTTATCTCCACCGAGATCCCTTCCACGAGGGAGGCGAATTCCTGGGTCCAGCTTCTCCTTCTGATCATCACACCTTGGAAGACGAAGCAAGCTACAACACCGCTATCCACGATGACAGTTCTGTGCAGACTCGGATTCTTGCGCCCCCGGCAGAAATCATCCCTGCCCGACGCTTATCTATAGACATCGCCAACAGCAGTGATGGCGACAGCAGCGACAATGCCAGTGATGACGACGACACCGAAGGGCCTGTAGGCCCTTCGAGCGAAAAGCCTGTGACATGGGCCTCACTGCCCAACAAAGGCCAGCTTGCGATCTTGACTTTCGCGCGACTGTCGGAACCTCTGACGCAAACCTCCCTCCAGGCGTACATGTTCTACCAGCTCAAATCCTTCGACCCTTCCCTGCCAGACTCGACCATCTCTGCTCAGGCGGGTGTGCTGCAGGGCAGTTTCACCGCCGCACAATTTCTTACGGCAGTCTGGTGGGGTCGCTTGGCTGATGCGGACTGGATGGGACGGAAGAGAGTGCTTTTGATCGGGCTCTTCGGGACATGCATCTCATGTCTGGGTTTCGGGTTTTCGCACTCATTCGCGGCCGCTGTGGTGTTCCGCACGCTGGGGGGATGTCTGAACAGCAACGTCGGGGTGATGCGGACCATGATCTCTGAGATTATTGAAGAGAAGAAGTAAGTTGGCGTGGTAAACGGCGCTTGCGGGCGGGCGCGCGTCGTTCCCTTATTTGGACTGAAGGGTGGCTTGAGCTAACGTGCTTAGATATCAATCTCGCGCCTTTCTCCTACTTCCAATGTGCTTCAATATCGGGGTGATCATCGGTCCAGTCCTGGGTGGTGCACTGGCGGATCCGCTGAATAGCTACCCTGAATTCTTCGGCCCCGGGACATTCCTTGGTGGTACCGAGGGAGTTCATTGGATGAGACGCTGGCCATATGCGCTGCCCAACTTGCTCAGTGCGATGTATATCTTTGCCTCATTCTGGGCTGTGTTCTTGGGTCTCAACGAGACCCATGAAATTGCGCGCTACCGGGACGACTGGGGTCGGAAGCTGGGACGCATTATTACGAAGTTCTTTTCGCGCCGCCGGAGTCGCTATTATCGTCGGCTCAGAACCCATCCGGACAATGAATCCATTTACATTGATGGCAGCGTGACCAGCATGTCCGCTCCTCCCAGCCCTATTCGTTCCCGTGCTCGGCCGCGCCCCAAACGCCCCAGCTTCTGGCAGATCTGGACACCAAACGTTCTTCTGACTTTGCTGGTTCAATTCCTTCTGGCTTTCCATACCAGCGCATTCAATTCGATGACGTTCACTTTCCTGCCAACTCCACGAGCCCCAGAAGATAGCCGGAAGGGCTTCTTTCGTTTTAGTGGTGGTCTGGGATTGCCGTCCTCTCGAGTCGGCATGGCAACGGCTATCATTGGGATCATTGGTCTGCCGTTGCAGATCTTTATCTACCCCCGCGTGCAAGGTCACTTGGGAACTTTGACCTCTTTCCGGACCTTTCTACCGTTTTCACCACTGGCATATGCGTTGATGCCTTTCCTTCTCGTGCTTCCACGGGTGCCCTGGCTGGTTTGGCCTGCGTTCACGCTTGTTGTGGGTCTCCAAGTTGTTTCGAGGACGTTCGCTCTTCCCGCGGCTGTCATCCTTGTGAACAACTGCGTCACCGACGCCTCTGTCCTTGGAACAATTCACGGGGTCGCGCAGAGTATCTCCAGCGGGGCCCGTACCCTGGGCCCCATGATTGGAGGCTGGGGCCTAGGGCTGGGACTGGAGCATAACTTTGTCGGCGGGATTTGGTGGGCCCTGGCCATAGAGGCATTGATCGGCTGGTTCGCCCTGTTCATGATCTACGAGGGTAAAGGGATTGAGAGGAAGAAGGTGTTAGAGGAAGAAGAGGAGGAGGATGGATTTGATGAACGTCGTTAAATACGGTTCGCCTTACTAGATGGACTAGAATTATTAGACTATATATGTGCATGGGATACATACACGGTTACTATGCGACATGGGCATCATGGGTTCATTGATGAGATTTAGCACGAGTCTTATGAGAAATGTCCTGAGATGATTGAATGGAACTTATTCATTGATGAATTTTGGTATAATTGTTTCATAGCTGTCATACATTTTGTCATTTTTAAGGATAAATGGAACTCCTCCGAACCTTCAAGGTTACCACCAAAAACGCCGTCTTAAATCGGGAACTTCTTCCGCCCGCGTCCTCCCAAGCCCAGTCCATCAATCCGCCCCCCATCTCCACTTTCAAACCCGACTGACCAGCCGCCTCAACGTGCAAGCGTCGCAGGCGTAATGAACGCCTTGATTGCCTGCGCAACATTCCCCTCGTGGGCCTTCAACAGCTCCGTGGCCCTGAGCTTATTCAAATCCAACTGATCCACCTGCAAGGCACCGAGCGTTTGACACACATTAGATTAGCCCAGCGAGCCTTATTCCACCAGTTCCAATATTTCAGAGCATCCCCCAAAGAGAGCGGGCTTGAGGACTGCAGAGCAGAAACCTACCAGAAGATTGACATCGTCGGCGCTGACCTTGACGGCCTTCTTCTTCACCAGCTCCCCTCCCTCCTTACTCTGCTGCGTCGTCCCCGCCCGCTTCTTGCCCGCAGGGTGACCGGCTGCGATCTCGAGACGGCTCATGGCCTTGCCCAGCGCCTCCTGGTCAGCGGACGAGGGCAGCCTGGTCGGGGAGTCGGTGGCGGCAATCTCGTTGGTGTGGAGGGAGGAGAGGGCGGCGGCGGCTTTGCGGTCCTCGGCGTTGGCGGGGAGCGGTTGCTCCGCGGCGTCGGGGTCGGCGTGCGCTGAGGGGATGGAGTCGGACATGATTGATTGGTTGGTTAGTTAGTTCGGTTATTTCTTCTTCTTCTTGTTGTTGTTGTTGTTGTTGTTGTTGTTGTTGTCAGATTGGAGGGTATATTCCAAGCCCATGTTTGAAGATACCTAGTGGTTAACACAAGCACCTGTTGCATGACGTACAGTCAGTCCCGAGAGACAAACAGACAAACAGCCAAACAGCCAAACATTCCGGCAGAACAATCAACCTAACAATCCGGATCTAAACCACTAACAGCCTAGTGCCGGGGAATAATGACTCAGGCCGCGAATAGCCGTGCGTTCCTCACCTTCCAGAAAGTAGCATGAATCATCCCATTTCAGGCCTGGTGCAACTTCGACTTGTTCTTGCTTTCTTTTTCTTTCTCCCCATTCCTCCCTCTCTCTCCCTGAACTCCCTTCTATCCCTCTCTCTACTCCTCAGTCAGTCGGATTCGAAAGAGAATCTCCATTCTTTACCCCCCGTTTCTTCTGATAGGAGTTGGTGGTTCCCGTCCGCATCGAAAACATCACAAAGCAGGGTCCAATCCAATTCGGAATTATCTCCACACTTCTTTTTTGGCTTGTCCGCTGTCATTCCAAGCTCTTTTGACCGTCGATCATTGCTAGAATCATACCTGCGTACAGCGTCTCCCTGCCTTCTTCTTCATCTCGACATCCTCACAACCTCCCAACTACACCGCCAGATCTATACATCCCATACTCCAAAATCATGGAGACCTGGTCTCCTACGTGTATGTTCTGTCTCTAATAACGAGAGCAACATCCCCATTGTCCAATCTCAAGACAAGCTGCTAATACAGTCCGGCTATCAGCGTGGACGTCCAAGCCGGCCAAACAATGCGTCGCGTACGAGGACACAGAGGCGACGGAGGCAGCTCTCGAGAAGCTACGGAAACTTCCGCCGTTGGTCACCACACAAGAGGTGTGTTTTCCTGTGTAACTGATGCTTCCTACCGGCAATTTTTGAGGTCGTCTTTGTGCATGTGTTTTACTGATCGCAATTTATGGCACAGGTTGCGAACCTCAAGAAGAGCTTGCGCAATGTCGCCCTGGGGAAGGCGTTTGTGCTTCAGGGAGGTGGGTTTCTGAACTTTGTTCCTTGACGTGAAACAGAAAACTTACAGTAATCAGGTGACTGCGCCGAGCTGTTTGATTACTGTAACCAGGAGATGATCGAAGCCAAAGTCAAGCTGCTTCTGCAGATGAGTCTGGTATTGATTTGGGGTAAGTCTGTTAGATCCCCGCTAATGTGATGGTGATGATGCTCATGCATGTCTTCTAGGAGCGAATAAGCCTGTGGTGCGCATTGCTCGGATTGCAGGGCAGTTTGCAAAGTACGTTTGTCTCACGTCCTGTCCTGCCAACCGTAGGCCTAATGCACTAATTCCTGAGCCATCAGGCCTCGCTCCAGCCCCATGGAAACGATCAACGGGGTCGAGATGCCCTCCTTCCGAGGCGACAACATCAATGGCTTCGAAGCGACGCCCGAATCGCGCAAACCGGACCCCTCGCGCTTGGTGTCGGCGTACTTCCACTCCGCCGCGACGCTGAACTACTTGCGCGCCTCCCTCTCCTCCGGTCTTGCGGACCTGCACTCCCCGCTTGACTGGGGTTTGGGCCATGTCATCACCCCCGCCATCAAGGAGAAATACGAACGCATCGTGTCGCGGGTGAAGGACGCCCTCCGCTTCATGCAAACCGTCGGCATCGACACCGATCGCGGCGTCGAGACCGTCGACGTCTACACCAGCCACGAGGGCTTGCTCCTCGATTACGAAACCAGTCTCACCCGTCTCCTCCGCAACCCCCTACCCCCCAATTCCGCCCCTGCTTTCTCCATGTTCTCCCCCCCTTCGTTTTCCCAGCCACCACCATCCGCTGTGGACCCGACGACAAGCACGACGACAGCACCGGCAACGGCAACGGCAACAAGCATAACCCCCCAAACCCCACTCCTCCCCTCGAAATCCTTCTACGCGACGTCCGCGCACTTCCTCTGGATCGGCGACCGCACGCGCCAACTCGACGGCGCGCACGTCGAATTCTTCCGCGGCCTCGCCAACCCGATCGGCATCAAGATCGGGCCCAGCATGACCCCGGAGGAATTGACGCAGCTGCTGGACGTCGTCAACCCTACGCGCGAGGTCGGCAAGGTGACCCTGATCTCGCGCTACGGCGCCGCCAAGATCGCCTCTCACCTGCCGGGTCACATCGAGGCCGTCCAGCGCGCCGGCCATCTCCCCGTGTGGCAGTGCGACCCCATGCACGGCAACACCCAGAGCACCCCCACCGGCGTTAAGACCCGCCACTTCAGCGACATCCTGTCCGAGCTGCGCCAGGCCCTCGAGATCCACCGCGCCCACGGCTCCTTCCTCGGCGGCATGCACCTCGAGCTTACCGGCGAGGCCGTCACCGAGTGTGTCGGCGGCGCCGGCGGCTTGACCGAGGAAGGCCTCGGCGAGCGCTACACCACCTTCTGTGACCCGCGGCTGAATGAGAAGCAGGCCCTCGAGCTGGCCTTCCTGGTCGCCGGGTTCTACCGCGAGATGGACGAGTCGGAGCGCGGGAGGATGAACTCCATTTGATCTGTTGCCTGGAGCTTGCCGCCCAGAAATGAGAGAGGGTGAGTAGAATATCTTCAAATATGGTTTATTTTGGTCTTGGACAATGTTCCATCCTGGGAGGGATTTAATATTGAGAACGGGTTTCTCGGGTCGACAAATCCAATTTTGACCGAAGATTTTGATTTATACGATCAGCGACAAAGTGATTAGGGCGGTATACGAAAGGAACCATTCAGTCTTCAAGATAAAAAGAGAGAAGTAAGAATGTTAATTTTATTTTATTCAAGAATATGAAATATCCACATAGACCCAAAACCAGTCACGACAATTTAAAACAAAAACAAACCATTCTGCAAATAGGGGGGTATGTAGGTGTCCCAATACACAAGATAAACCAGAGAGAGAAACGAAACCAGACCCAGTCAATTGATAGCAAACAGGAAATCGAAGTCAGCTCCCAAACACAACCGACCGTACCCAACATAATAACAAGAATGGAGAAAACAAGACGCAAGATCACTCCACGAGGGGACTGCCCACCCTGGGCTTGTAGGCCATGCTCTTCCGGCGCGCGGCCTCGAGCTTCGAGCGCAGCTTCTGGTTCGGCTCGCGCACGGGGCCCGGGGTGGTGAAGAGACCCTGGCGGGTCTGCTTGGGCGGACAGGTCTGCTGGACGAGCTTCGTGCGCTGGGAGAGGTAGAACGGGGTGGCGGGGGACATGCCGATGGCGTCCATGTCGAAGGCGTAGGCGGAGGAGCCGGGGGTTTGGGGCGTGTGGCAGTACCGCTGGTCGGGTTCGGTGTGGCCCACCGTGTAGTCGACCTGTTCGGGCGGCGTAGCCGTAGAGCCTGACTCCTCCTGTTCCTGTTCCTCCCGGGAAGAGAGAGGCGGCGTGCTGTGGTCCCTGGTGAAGCTCTCCACGGTGTCTCGGCTGATGGCGCCGGAGCGGCGGCGATCTAGGGCGGGGGCGGTTGCGGTGGCCCGGACCAGCGTGCCGTTGACGTTGCTCAGCGCGCGTGGTTCCATGCTCTTGCGGCGCTTGGCACCGCCGCGGGGGACGATGGAGCTGTCGACGGCGTAGGGGGTTTCGTCGAGCCATTTGCTCTCCCGCTCGCAGTCGAGAACCCAACCGACACCAACACACTTGACCAGGCCCCGTGCGTGGCGAACCTTCTCCAGCGTCCGAGCACTTCCGTCCTTGAAGACCACATGGGTGACGCCCACTTTGCCTTCCTTGGGTTCAACCCCTTCCTCTGGGGCCAGGCTCGCGCGAGGGTTCCAGCACCAGTTCTTGATGCATCGGGCTCCCATTTGTTGAAGCAGTTCGATGAAAATACCACTAGCATCTTCGCCCTCCGTGGTGTGCACGTCCACATAAACGACCGCTCCTTGCAAAGCCAGCTTAGGCGCCGGTGCGCTCATGCTCCTTCTCGGAGCCTTTGCACTCTTGGTCGGGCTCGGTGATTGCGGAGGGCGCTTGGCAGGCGTCGATCTCTCATTCTTAAGCTCGGCGGATTGTGTCACCGGGGCGACTGGCCTGGACATTGAGACTCTCTGAAGTCTCGGTGATTTCCGAGGCGACAGCGGTGGAACAGTCTGCTGGGTAGGAGCGAAGGTCGAAGTGCGAATTCTGGTGGAGGCACGAATAGGCGAAGCACCCGAAAGCGAGAGACCTCTCTTGCGGGAAATCTTCAGCGGCGAAATTTGACCTTCAGGTTTGAGAGGCACCTTGGAAACAGTGTGTACTGTTTGCATCTGAGGAATTCGGTTCTTGACAGGGGTGAAGAGAGGAATGTTGGAAAAGACCTCATTCTCCTTGTTATCATCAAATGCATCGATTGCAGGGAGCGGGCTGTTCGACACAGAAGCGATCTCCATCACTAACTCCTCGCGGGGGTCCTCCTCGGTGTAGTTGCCAAGGGTAGCTTCAACCTCTGTCCCATTTGGCATGTCAACCACAGGGCCTTCCGTCTCCTGAATATTTTCAGAGGAATATGCCTCTAATTGGGAGTCTTGACTAGGGTCCTCATAGATGTGAGGGCCGTCGACATTCTCAGTGACCGGCTCTTCAGTCTCAGCAAGAATAGTCTCTTCCGCCTGAGATTGCGTGTTGAAATCTTGCAAGATTTGAGTACCATCGACAACTTCGGTGGTTTGCTCGATGAGCTCAGCAGGCTCGGTAGTTTCGGTGTTGTCGGCCTGTGACGGACGAGAGCTCTGGCTAAGGCCTTCGTAGATCTCCGACTCGTCCTCCTCGGACATCTGCTCAGCATCCTCAGTAGTGCCAGGCTCTTCCAAGCCAGAGGTCTGGCTGAAATCTTCGTAGTCCTCTGGACCGTCAGTAACCCCTGTCACCTGCCCGGCAGTTTCTGCAGACTCTACGGCTTCAGCAGCCTCAGTCTCTGCTACCTGTGAGTCGTGGCTGTAATCTTCTTCAATTTGAGGATCGACGTTCTCGTTGTAAGCTTCTGGTTCGGCCTCCGTAGTTTCAGTTGCGTCAGTTTCCACCGATTGCACGCTTTGGCCACCCTTGTCACTCTGAGGACCCCCGTGCTCATCAATCTCAGCATCGGCATCAGTCGCTTGCGACTGAGGCTCCTCCGACACAGCATCTTCCGCTTGGCTGTCGATTTGAGGATATGTGACCTCTTCCGGGGTGGGCATTACGTTGCTGGATGACCTGCGATTGCCACCCAAAGAGAATATACCTTTGCGTGGGCGTTGCGAACGCCGAGGCTGGGATCGCGCGGGACTGCTGGCCTTCCATTGGCTGAATTGCTGCGCCAGAGGTGTGAAACGCGGAGCGTTGTCAAAGATCGAACGCTTTATAGACCGTCTGAGAAGTGGTGTCGCGGAATTGGAGTCGACGAAGGGGTCTTGACTGCCACTGGTGTCTACCGTGAACCCCTGTCGAACCGGGCTTGGGCTGTCAGCGGTAGACTCGAAGCTCATATTCCGCCGTACAGGGCTGTCTGGTAGAACGCGGACTGGTGAGATGTTCTTCATCGCTCTGTAGTAGGCCTCACGAATTGGACTCCAAGGATTTTCTGGCTCTTCAACCTCGTATGGCAAGATGGGGACACGGCTGGGCGGAATAATCTCTGTTGGTTCAGTAACAACAATGGTGGGCTCATTTTCTTCGAAGACGCAATCCTCAATGATGCCTTCTTGCTGATCACGGGACAAATCTTCCTCTGCAGCGCCAACGTCATCATCGGTCTCCATCATGTCAGGGTCGTCCTCCGTATCCGAAGAGTCAAGACGCTGGTCCGCCTGTTCAGGTAGTGTGGGTTCATCGACAAAGACATCGTCAAGGTCCTTGGCTAAGCTGTTTCGGATGTTGGGGATGGGCGTGTGTTGTTCCTCCGCAAGTGGAATGTCGACCTCCTCTTCTACAACTGGATTGGGCGTTGCCGCGCGTTCCTGGCCAATTGCATCCTGATGGCCGTCTTCAGCATCAGATACTGTCTCGGGCATGTCTTGGTCCAGATTGACACGGTCATCATCCTGTTCCTGATTGTCCCCATCAGAAGCATCGTCCAGTGTTGCATCCACTGAAATTTCGCGAACAACGGGATCATCTTTATGATCTTTTGCACCGGCCCCAGACTCGACAGCAGCCTGCAGATCATCCGTTTCCTTGTCAGCATCTTGTTGAGACTCGGGAATATCCTCCAAATCAGGCGCTCCAAGGGAATCCTCATTCGACTCATCAACATTCTCATCGTTGACATCCTCAATGGGCTCCGCATTTGAGATCTCTTCGAACTCTTCGGCTGCCTCCTGGATCACTTCCTCGCCAGTCTCCTCCATAGGCACATCCACATGCTCAGGGGCAGGCTCGACCTCGTCCAATTCGTCAATGTCAGATTCCTCTGCCATGCTTCCAGCATCTTCTTCCATGGCTTGATCCTCGCTCTGATCACCCTCTTCCTCCATGTTTTCACCGACGACTTCAGCGACGTCTTCAGCAACTGTACTAGCATCATCCTCGACGTACTCAACAGTCTCCTCAGAATCGTGTTCTGCGGTCTCTCCATTTGCCGCACGTTTCTCATAGTGGCGTGCTAGCGAAGGCGAATGAGGCGGGTTTGTGCTGACAGGCTCGAGGTCGTCATTCTCCTCAGACGCCACGTCTTCAGTCGACTCATCCTCCTCATCGGCCTGAGTCTCTACCCTGGTTTGCATGAGTCGGAGAGGGGATTCCTCAAGGTGAGAGTCATCAAAAGTATCGTTGTCTTCCGGTTCTTCTTCGTTGTCATTCTCGTGCTCAGACTCTTCAGGTACTGGGCTCTTCATGACGGACAGAAAAGCTTTGAACGGAGTGGCGACCTTCTTTGCGGGACTTTGAAGGAGGGACGTGCTTTGTCTCAAGGGAGTGGCGGAAGGCTCCGGTTGAGATTGAGACATGAAGGACGCGCCAAACAGACCTTTCCTGGGCGAGGATTTCAGGGGGGAGTTGAGTCCCGGGGTAAAGTTAGGTTGAGACACCGATCCGGTACTGGTGCCAAAGAGATTGCCGCGTCGAGGGGTTTCCAGGGACGCTTTCTTCGGAGAGAGCCTGAGCGGAGAGTTGAGGGTGGGTGACAACGTGGGTTGCGACAAGGGCTGAATGTCACTGCGGAGAGTCAGACCACCACCTCGTCTGGGTGTTTCCCTCATTGTGAAATTGAATGGCGAAGGGGGTGGTCGGCGGGCGGGGCTCGACAGGAGAAGGTTATTATCGTTGAAGTCGACCGAACGTCGAGGACCGGGCAATGGGTCGCCATTTTCATCGAGGGACTTGCGGAAGTGTCGTCCAGTGAGATTGATCTTCTTGACTGGGGAGCTGAGTCCGGCATTTTCTGATCCGTGTTTGGGAGGCGATTGAAGGATTGCTTTCATCTGATCTTTGTCCGCACTTAACTCGTCGTCCTCGCCATCCGAGCTGGCGTAGGAAGAAAGCCCTTTGGCGACCTGCGTCGCCTTCTTCGGCGACAGCGGCTTCGACGAGTCGTCCTTCTTCGCTGCCGCAGGCTTGCGGCCCCTACCGGAGGTGGCCGCGGGTTTCCGCACAGGCTTGGACGCAAGACCTCCCTGGCGCCCTGAGACGGTGGCGGCGCCCCTTCTCCTGCCAGCCGGCGGAGGAGACGGCTCATTCAATTCATCCGCATCCGAATCTGTGGGATCCTGGAACGTGACTGTCTTCTTCTTGGCCGGTCCGCGCAGCATGTTCGATCTCACGGACGAAGAGTGGGTGGTGATGTAGACTTGCCTCGGGGCCTCTTGCGACGAGGAGAAGTCGATATCCGTGAACCCTTTGGCGTTCAATCGCGTATTTTCCTTCAATTCGTCGACCACCTTCGGCTTCGCAGCCGCGGTCCCCTTCGGTCGACCTCGGGTTTTGGGCGCAGCAGCAGCAGCCTTGTCCGCCTCCCTGGCGGCGGCGGCGGCGGCGGCGGGCTTCGCCTTCGGCCTTCCAGCGCGCTTCTTCGGGACCACCTCCGACTGAGCCAGCTCGTCGTCGTTGTCACTATCCGATTCCGCCGCCGCCGGCGTCGCGACCACCGGGGTCTTTCGCGTGCGCGGAGCTACGGCACTGGCCCCCGCCTTCGCTGCGGGCGGCCTCCCTTTAGGCTTCGACGTGGCCGTTCCTTTCCCCCTACGACTCCCGGCGAACATATCGATCTCATCGTCCGTCGTCGCGTCCGCATCCTCCTCCTCCTCGACGGGTCGCTTGGTGGTGGCGGCGGTGGTCGTCGTGACTGACGCGGTCCGGACGCCTCGCTTCCGGGCCTCCGTGGCGGAGCTAGGTGCCTTGGCCTTCGTAGTCTTCGGCGCGGTTCTGCTGCTGGCCGTCGTCGTCGTCGCGGTCGTGGTTGTCGTTCCCTTGGTGCGGGTGCGCGTTGCCCGCTTGGGCGGGGACTGTGGGATGATTGCTGCGCGAGCCATGCTGTCTGTTATTCGCGCCTTCACGCGTCGAAGGTCCGAAGAGGGTTGAGGTCGGTGGTTGTTGGTTCCTCCCGCTCACTCTGTTGCTGTTTTTCGTTGCGTCAAATGTGTCGCGCGCGGGGAGGGAGCCGGGTTAGTGTCGACGAATTCACTCTGCTCTCATTGTGTGACTGCTCGTAGTGACAAAATCAATGGCCACTATGTCAGATTGCCCCCGAAGTCCGATATGTAAGATGGTCGTGGCAAGCAGGGGGCGAAGGGCGTTGGGTGTTGAATGGGTTAAGGTTGTGGTGGAATAAGCTTGCAGCTTTCGGCGGCGAGCGAGCGTTGGGCGTTTCGTCAGAGTTCGAGCTTGGGTGGAAACAACCAACCAAGCCTGCCCGCCGCCGCGTGTTGTCGACCTTGCTTGTTTGGGAAGTCGAGTGGCTGGTTGCCCTGACAACACAACACGTGATGTCAGCCAATCCGCGTCGATCATCTACAGAGATCTATTCAGAGTACGGAGCACAAGATTTCCAAGTCATACATCGTATGCATGTATGCACAATACTGCTATCAAGAACTTTTACTGTGCTTGGTACTGTTCGAAAAGACTTATATGATCAAGAAACCACCAAAGCCACGCCTTCATAGGAATTACCCAGAAAAGTTTACAGCAAAGCGCCCGCAGTCACTGTTGCCGCCAAGGCACCAAGAAATACAGCACGCGACACAATAGCGCCTTCACTGCTGAACACAACAGCTGGCTTATACTCGCCCGGTGTGGTGGAGTTCGTCGTGCCGTTCCAACAATATCTGTCAAAACACCGGTTACAGATATCCGGGACGCTGGTGTTGGTGCGTTCGAGCGATCGACTCAGAATCGCGCACCCCACACACGTCGACCAGTCCGCGTCACGGCTGTTGTTTCCCATTGTCGCAACGTCGTACCCGTTCTGGATGATCTGATCTCTCTGCGACTCTTCGTATTCCGGTTTGAAGGTGGAAACGTTAGAGTAAGACACATATGGGTAATTGGGAAGGTAGACAATCAGTGGCGCTGGTCCCGTTAAATTCGACGAGTTGCAGCCAAAGAAGGTCGGCCGCGTATTGAGACCCAGATTGACGAAAGTATTCTGGTCTGGAATCGCCGGGAAAGCTGTTCCATTTCCGATGCCCGTGGAGTTCAAGCTCCGTTCGTAGGTAGCAACCATAGCAGTACCATTCGGCCAATTATTTTCAGTGTCAGCAGACGAATCCACCGCGATGATAACATCAACATGGCGCTCAGGCTGAATCAGTGGATGCAGTGGGATATTCTGGAGGTCTTCACCACCATCGACTAGGTCGAGCATGGCTTCATTTGCAGCTGGCGATGAGTTGTGGGCCCAATGGTAGAAAGGATTTGGTGTGTAGAGCGCGATGTCGTAGTTTTCTTGTCCAATGTCCTCCAAAATGCTTGTAAAAGCCGATTTCAAGAAGTCCGGGAGAGCTGTAGAGTTAACCTGTAAGAGGAACTGATTGAAAAGACTCGATGAAGTCCCCATCACAAAGCCCGCGTTGTCAAATCCCCTAACACAGCTTTCATTCTGAGGAAGAGACCCAGCCACAAAACGAGACCCCAGATACTCAATAGGCGCAAATCCGTAGACGGTAGGGTCGAAGGTGCCAAATTCCCAGGGATTGAATTCGTAAACGGTAGCATTGCTACTCACAAGTAGCTCATCCGGATATCGACCGTCAGCAACCAGTATCGGTATCGGCATCTCGGCCTTCTTGAAGGAATCGGTCAGAGCGATTGACGACCAGGTGTAGTCGATCCCCCCGGTGGAAGCATTGATCAGCTGATAAGAAAGGGCACGCCCCCTAGCACATCACGGTCAGCGACTCTCGAATCTTAGCCTGAGGGCAATGTACACTCACCAATAATCGGTGATGGAAGTGTTGAAACCTGCACGCGATTTGCCCTGCACAGCATCATAGATATCCCTATAGTAAGAGGCAGAGTCAAATAGCTGAATGCCATTTCCCTCTGGTCCCTCGAAAATGGAATTCTGGAACTGCCAGATGTCGCCGTCGTCGTACGTCTGCAAATGGGAAATGGTACTGAAGTTATTCATATAAACCGAACCAACCAACCAGCCGCCGCCGCTCAAGCCAGCCAGGTATGTTGCCGACTGCAGCAAGCCACCAAGTTGACCATCACTCGTGGAGTTGTTCGTCCTGCTATCGAATGCCTTGATGGCCCCTGCACCGTTCATCAGGGCTCGATAGCCGCCTCCAGATACCGCAATCCCGATATTGGGCAGGTTCGAGGTGTTTCCGGAGACTCGATCGATATATTCCGTTGCGTTGAAGTCTGCAATGGTGACATGGCCGAAGAAATCTTTCAGGGCTGATTCGGTCTTTCCCCGGCGAGTCTTAAGCCACGAGGTCTCGTTCGAGGAGAGAGTCGAGGCACTGCGCACTGTAGGCCTAGTAGCCGAACAACTCACATTGTCCGGGGTGTAGCCGTCGGGGGCGTTGGGTAGCGCGCGCTGTAGCATTCTATGTTTCCGGGCCCCATCTTCTGCGCTAGTCGTCGCGCCTGATCAAATAATCAGCCAGAAAAGAGGATAGTCATGGAATGGCATCGACGTACCGAACACCGAGCCCGCTAAAATGAGAAACGTAGCTGTGATTTTCATATTGACTATCACCGTCAAGCCGCCTGCCATCAACAGCTGCAGAGCTCGTGTGGAAGAGGTCGAATTCTCTGCAATGCCAGACCCCGAGTCATATATCAAAGGGCTGAGCTGCCGTTGGGCAGGATGTCTTGGGTGTTGACGAAGCCCGAGGTCAGCTAAGTATTTGTATTCACCGATTCACCGATGAACATGGGGGGTTCCGGCACAGCTGGCAGGCAGGCTGAAGAGTCACGGCTGCTCATTGGTGTGTCTAGAAATGGAACGCCGCACAGTAGTGAAAGTGTTATACTAGGTAGTGGACGCACTCGTCCGTGGCTGAGCTCGAGCAGCTACGAGCCATGGTTCCTGGTGAAGCAAAAGCTACTCGGGGTCGGTCAATGGGCGTTTGTGGTTCGGACAGCGGCAGACAGCTTCTGGGCTTGGGTCAGAAGAGCTCCCCCTCATCACTGGCAATTAGGCAGGCGCATTTTGACTTGATGTGGCTCAGATTCTGTGGACAAGAGCCTTTTGACTGATATTTTAATAAATAATATCGTGATGCATAGGTAGCCGATCGATCTAGAAGGGAAGACCCTGGATCGGCAAGCGATGGCGGATGCCGTGGATGAAGGGCAGGCAGCCTTGTTGGAGGGCCGACCGACACTGACACTGGCACTGGCTGACTGACGGCTCGGGTAGGTTGACGCAATCCCGCCCCCCAGAAACTTCAGGCCAACCCCGGCATTCCTCCGCCTGCGCTTCGTGTTCGACTGCTTTCATCTACTTCTCGTGTTACTTTTCCGAGCATGGGTGACCCCCCCGAACAAAGCCACGTCTGCATTGCTCACAAGCATATCTAATATGAGATCATCATCATGCATTAACATCTCCCCTCAGGTACTCGAAAAGCCCAGCTAAGCTACCCTTCATCCGTCCCACAAGCCATGACTGGCCTCGCAGTTCAATCTCCACCACCGCTCAATCAATCCCTTCGATACATGATATCCGTCCTCATCGTATACTTGACCCCACGTATCACAGGATCCCCGCCATGCAGCAAATCATTCTGCTGAAACACCAGCACCGACCCCGTCCGGGGAAAGATGCGAAGATGGCGCTCCTTCTCCTCGAACCGAGGCAGGAAGGAGGTCGCACCGCCCAGCAGAGATCCCTTCGTGTCCAGATTCACAACGCCCTCGCCTTTCTCCAGGCGCTTCATCTCCCGCGTCAGTTCCGCGCGATCCTGCTCCCCATCCCCATTCAAATAGAGGTGCACCGTGTAGTACGAGGTCTCGCGCCCGTCCGGCGTCCGGTAGTGTCCATCCCAGTGCGGCCGGAAGTATTCCCCCCCTTCGTATTTTAGAAAGCGCAGTCGCTCGTTAAGACGGGTGAGTCGGTAGACGGCGTTGCGACCGGCCAGGCCTGTCACCCGGGGCTGGTTGTCGATCACCTCGATGCCCCCCAGCTCCTGTAAGAAGGGCCGCAACCGGGCCAGCAACTTGTCGGCCAATTCAGGCGAGTCGTAGATGATCCGCCCGCAGTTGCGGGTGTCCACCGCGAGCGCCTGTTTGCCGTTCCCCAGGTTGATCATGGCGCGCTCCCAGGTGGGTTCGGCGGCGGCGGCAGCGGCGGCGGTCCGGTCCCCGGGCTTTGTTGACGGGACGGTGCTGGCCTCGGCTAGACGAAGAAGCTCGTCGCATTCCTCCTTGGTGAACGCATTGTCAATGACTGCAGCGCAAAGGTCCTTGTATTCAGGCAGCGGTGGGTCGGACTGGGTAAAGTCGATGCGGTGGCATTGAGCGTCGGCCGGGGGTTGGGCGGGGAGAAATTCCGCCTTTGTTCGCCGAGCCATAACGAGTTCGGCACAGAATCTCTTTGGTGGTACTTTGGAGGACCTCGAGGTATAAATCTAGAATATATAGAGTCGATTGAAGGAAATTTTTCAAAGTCAAGGGGGAAGGGACAGAGCCATCTTGAAGAATGACCCTCAAAGGAGGCTTAAAAAGTTAGCCCTGTTCGGGACCCCGACTCAGCCTCGTGAGCAGGCAGCGAAGGAAGTCATACAATACAGTGGGGGCTGAGCCTTGACCAGGCCAGAATCATGGCCTCCTGCAGAAGGAAGCACTGCAACTCTGAGTGTTCAAGCCCATAGCACACACACAACGAGCAACAAAGACAATTAACACGTTCATTTGTCCTGCTCAGCTAATCTCAAGATCCATGATGTCTAGTGCCTTAACAACAATGCTTGGCACTCAAACCGGACTTTCTTCTTCCGCCCTACTACACGACTCATCTTTATCCCATGAACCCCAAATTTCTTAGCACTGCTTTCTTATGGGGTGGCCAGTGCTGGAGATAAGACTGCACGTAAAACTTCAAAAACAATAGCATCAGGAACAGAACAAACCCGCATCCAAGGCACACCGCATAAGCCTCACTACTGTCTCTAACGCATCTTACTGTCTTCATGTCCCGAGACTGCTGTACTTTGGAGCCCCGTGGCGTTATGTTGAAAGGGGTACTTGGGGATTGATCATGTCGCTCGAGAGGAGGACCAGAAAAAGGAACATCATATTCAACAAGGACGGACGACAAGCCTAATAGGCTACCGACGAAGAATTGCACGATTTGAAGCAAGGTCAATGAAGCTTTGGTCGAGTGGTGAACGGGGATGCGCAACGCAGTCATGCTGTAGTATGTATACTGTGCGTCGCCATATTAGCATATGTGGCAGGATAGTATAGTTATCCGACGTAACAGTACTGACCATCAGGGTGTGCACAGCCGAGTTGAATAGTGTGGCGATTATCGAGGCCGAATTGATAAATCGCACTCCCATGCAGCCCCAGAAGATGACGCCAGCATGGTGATATATGTGCAGGGCGGAAGCCTGGCGCCCCTTCGCAAGAATGATCACGGTGTCGAGTGGCTCATATAGCTTTGACAGATAGAACAGCCAGACGATCATCTTCAACCTCGGCGCATATGATTCGTGCCCCGGGAACTGACCCCCATGGCAGACAATGTCTGCCGCCCGGCTCATATGCAACTCATCTTGCTTGTCCGGCCATGCGGAAGACAATGTGTTCAGCATAACGGCGAATGTCCAGGCCGAGAAAACTGTCAGAATCAGATTGTGTAGTATCACTAAGTTAGGGAAGACCTTTGTGCGACTGATTGCCCACGGTCTCCGTTCTCTGGCATTGATCTTATTGCAAAAGATGACGACCGATATGTACAAGACGCTTATTATTGTAGGGAACCGCAGGTCCGTAGAGAATATGTATAAGGATGTAGAAAGCTGATATCTTCCGAAGCGGAGTGCTGATTCGGGAAAAGGAAGGGAGTGGCTTGAGCCAAAAGCATCGGAATACTCGAACAAGGTGGAGAGTGGTCGTGTAAGTCGAAGGAATCGCGGTGTCAGCATGGCAGCAGACACTCCAAGAGGTTTCAACAATGATTGAAGAGCGAGCGTGCTGGTTTCGGTGACAATCAAGAGCCACTTGATGCGCAGACCGCATGCACCAAAGTCGGAGCTTGTTGATAATATGATTGCTCATCCTGTATCGGAAGCAAGCCTCTGTTATAGGAAGACGGGACCCTTGCAGAGCTTATGAACTGCTGCCGGGTCATTAAGGCAAGGCCTCAATTGCATTCATGGGGAGAATCAGGGATTGTTGTTGGGAGTTGAAGTCCGCCCGAACCGGAAACCGACCCCGGACTTTCGACCGAATGTCCATCTCATGCCTTGGCAAGGCTTCAGGTGACTGCTCTTTCTTCACTACAGCGCCTTGGTAACAGAACCACAGTTTTAAATCTACAGTTCTTCACTACATATAAGTTCATTCCCTCCATTATGATCCTGTTACGGCCAAAGCTTGCATATAGAAAGCCAATACTCTCGAGACCCGGCCTCGCGCATAAAGATGAGCCTTCAAAGGTGATAGATGGTATGTCCTCTTGAATATACACGCACTGCTAGAACTCGGCTAAAACTTTAAACATAAAACTCAGCTAAAGAGCTCCCGAGCCTGCTCTGCAGCTATCATTGGGTAGCTTGAGGACGGTTTCAGGAACATAGACATTAATTCCTATAGGACTTCATCGGGACAGACATCGATTTCGTCCTACCATACTTGATCAATAAATTATGAACCAACGATCGTCAAATATAGCTCACTACACTAGGAAGTCGGAACATTCTATGTTCATAGATGTCGCTGGCATATCACAGAGCCCCCTCATTTGCTGTGTCGAGGCGGTACAAACAAGGGCAAAGTCCGTGAAATAACTCCTCCAGCGGCTGTGCCACATCCGGTCAGAACAGGGTGGTGAATTTGGGCAGTAATCAATCCTCGGAGCTGATAGATTGTTTTTATTGCAGACCTTCAGCCAATTTTGAGGACGATGAGGGACAGCTCTCAGAACATGATCGAATGCATTTCTTCCTGTTCCTCGATGACCATCAACTTTTGAATCTGTCCTCTGTCGCAATTATTGCAGTGGGAAGTATGGAAGAGATCAGCACAGTTCCCGATGACGATCAGAAAGGACATCTCACTAGAGAGCCGATGACTAAACGATATTGGTACCAACGTATAGACTGGTGGGGTATCATTTTTACAATGGTCGTTCCTCTCTATGGTCTGTACCAAGTCTGGAGGATTCCTCTACATCCGAAGACATTCATTTTTGCGGTGGTATTCGGCCATTTTTCGGGATTCAGCATCACTGCCGGTAGGTAACACACATTCCACATTATTGCTTGATTCACTATTAATGACACTGCGTGAAACATGCTAGGTTATCATCGACTCTGGGCCCATGCATCCTACCGTGCTACCACACCACTGAAAGTATTCCTCGCCATTTTAGGAAGCAGTGCCGGTCAGGGCCCGATCGAATGGTGGGTGCGCAGTCACCGTACGCATCACCAATACACCGACACTGCCAAGGATCCATACTCTGCCCACAAGGGTCTTCTTTACTCCCACATGGGATGGATCCTGCTTAGAAGGGACGCCAGGATCTACCACGGGATAGACATGTCTGATATTAACAATGACCTTGTGGTCCGGTGGCAACGTCGCTACTACGGCGGCATCTTGCTAGCCATGGTGTTCTTGTTCCCAACCGTGGTCTGTGGCCTCGGATGGGGTGATTGGAAAGGCGGCTTTGTCAATGCCGGTATCGTCCGCATGTTTGCAGTTCAACAGGCTACGTTCTGCGTGAACTCCCTAGCCCACTGGATGGGGGATCAACCATTTAATGACAGGAATTCTCCCCGCGATCACCTGGTCACGGCTATCATCACGCTTGGAGAAGGATACCACAATTACCACCATGAATTTCCCACGGACTACCGCAACGGAGCGGACCGGTGGCAGTGGGATCCAACTAAGTGGGTGATCTGGTTGTGGGAGCAGATGGGTCTTGCATACGACCTGAAACGTTTCTCTACACATGATGTGGACAAGTGCCGTCTGCGACAGGCGCAGAAGAACCAAGCGTCGCACTCGGACTGGGGCGTTCCTTTGGAGGGCTTGCCAAGAGTCTCATGGAAGGACTACATAGTGCAAGCCAGAGACGGGAGGCGGGCACTGATTGCTATCGATGGGGTGGTCCATGATGTCTCGAGCTTTATGCCTGACCACCCTGGAGGCAGTCAGTCACTCGAGGATGCCATCGGTAAAGATGCCACTGAATTGTTTACTGGAGGAGTACACCTGCATTCCAGGCTGGCTCATAATAAGCTTGCTACCTTGAGAGTAGCCATTGTTCGTGAGGTATCATGATTAACAAGCAGATGGCATAGTTGGAACAAACCAGGTGAGCCCAATAGTTTCAAGAGTCTTGAGAGCCTTTCATTACCTGGAGAATTTTGCTACCGCAACGTTCACCCAGCTGGCTCAAATATTGTTATCTTTCCTTATTAAATGCGTCTGAGCCTCTTGCCTTAAATGCATGTGTGGTGGTACCAGCTCGCCTATTCGGGCCGGTGTACGATCATGTACAAGAACTTAATAAGATTGAGTTGCCCTCTACTCAGAGATCCATAGATGCTTTGGACAGAACCAGTGTTCGGTAGTGTAGGGCGTGCCGCCAAGCTGGACCCACAGGGCGTGCCACCGATGACCCACAGGGCGTGCCGCTCAATGTCACCCCCAGGGCGTGTAGACACGCCTTACTCAAGACATACTGATAACTAATGGGCAGTGGAGATACGACCAGCATGTATATATATGCTTTAAAAGGGGACTGAGCAGCAGAAAGAGCCATTGTGTTGCGAGTCACCGCTTAAAATCTTCTCACCATCACCACCATGGGTTCCTCACAACCGCTCGACGCCTCTCGCCTGACCTACACCTTCACAGCCGCTCCACGCGAGGTCCCAGACGCGCAAACCCTGAGCAGCACCCGCAAGACAATATGCACCGACCACATGATCACTGCATCCTGGAACGCCGAGAGCGGCTGGTCCGCGCCGGAACTGAAGTCCTACGGCCCTCTGAGCCTTGAACCCAGCGCCTCGTGCCTGCACTACGCCTACGAATGCTTCGAAGGCCTCAAGGCCTACCGCGGCCACGACGGAAAACTGCGGATGTTCCGCACCGACCGCAACACCCGCCGCCTACTGATGTCCGCCCAGCGCATCTCCCTCCCCGAATTCGACCCCGACGAGCTCGAGAAACTCATCTATACATTACTCTCCGTCGACGGGACCAAATGGCTTCCCCGAGACCGCACGGGATCCTTTCTGTACGTGCGCCCGACCATCATCGGGACGGACTCACAGCTCGGCGTCGCGCGGCCGACGGAGGCCCTCCTCTACATCATTGTCGGCTACATGGCTCGCCTGGACGCCCCGGCCGGCGGGAAACGCCTGCTCACCAATCCGGACGACACGGTGCGCTCCTGGGTCGGCGGGTTCGGATATGCGAAAGTGGGCGCCAACTATGGGCCGGCCGTGCTGGCGACCCAGGAGGCCTTCCGGCAGGGATACCATCAGATCCTGTGGCTGTATGGGCCGGACGGGTCCTGCACGGAGGCCGGCGGGAGCAACTTCTTTGTGGTTTGGCAACGTCGGGAGGATGGGAAGAAGGAGCTTGTCACGGCCCCGTTGGATGATCGGCTGATCCTGGATGGGGTCACCCGCCGCAGTTGCCTGGAATTGGTGAGAGAGCGACTGAAGGGCGAGGTGGAGGTCTCGGAGCGGAAGTTCACCATCGGGGATCTTCTGGAGGCGGCGGCGGAGAACCGTCTCTTGGAGTCGTTTGCTGCGGGTACCGCGGTAAGTCTTTTGCTCTGTGTTTATACCTATGGATGGGGCATTCTGATCATTCTGTTAGTGGTTCATTACTCCTATCTCGTTGATTCACCACCATCAAGAAGACATCCATATCCCAACTGGGTCGGATGGAACACCGGGGGAAATTACGGGCAAGCTCAAGGGATGGTTGGGGGATATAATGTATGGGCGGGTCGAGCATGAATGGGCAAGAGTAGTGGCTGAGAGGGGGGAGAATATCGAATAAGTAGAGGTCACTTGTGAAGTTCAAAGTTTGTTTTAGTCATGATAGACTAGGTAGTAGACAGACACAAAATATCCGTAGAATCCTAGAGCTGAGATCACTACGTGATGATCTCAAGTCTCGTGATCGTCCACTCAGCGATGAATCATCCGCTCTGTCCCCACCAAATGTTTTTTCTTTGCCGCCACTCGTCCCTCTAAACCCCTCTGAACCCCACGTCAAACGTCCATTGAGTGATGTTTAGTTTCTGTGTCCTTCTAAGCCTGCGCCAGTAGTAAGATGGCTGCTTTCAGGCGCCCAATAAGTTCGGAATTCCTGGATTCCGCCAGCCGAGAATCAGTCTGCTACGATCTTCCCTGCGTCGATCCCGCAACTGGAGATGATACCCAGCTACCTCAAGATGATACTGCACTCGATTCCGCTGACCAGTTTGACAATTCATACACGCTAATGGGGCTTGACTCATCAGACTCCTGGTGGCAGTTCATTGAGACGGACGCCAATACCAGCGTTTTCCCACTTGATAGTGAGAGCCTACCAGCGCATGAGAACTCGGTCGATGCGACACCCACGAACGAGCATGACGACCTCAATGCAGGAGACATTGACTAAGCTGGCTTGGTGGACTACGCTTTCCTACAGTTCTCTGCAGATCAACCAGGTCAACAAGATCCATTGAGTTATGACAGTCCACAATCATCTATAAGGCCATCCCTACTTGCCAACGTTGGAACCAGGGAAACCACCCCAAGTCCCTCTACTGCAGTACACTCAGCAGGATCCCAGCGAGGGCTTCCTCGTCGAAGGAGCAGATATCGCATCCAGGAGATTGATCGACGGGCAGCTGCAACCTTCATACCAATTGTTTCGGGCCCCGCCGATCCTCTAGAACGCTGGAAGAATTCTCCGCCTGAAGCCGAAGCAGCCAGCTTATCGGCCATCCAGAATGCTCTCGAGAATGCACCGACGGATTCAGGAGTAAGTCGAGGGCCCGCGCTGGGCCCGCACCTGGATGACTTGTTTCAAACGCCTCGCCATGCATCTTCCCGAGCAGCTTCAACGGTAAGTGGCGCAAGTGCCACCAGTGCGTCCTCCTATCGCTCCAACCGATCTCGCGTATCTGCTCGATCGCATGGCAGCCAGTCCGGCTCTGATAGGTCAATTGCGGGGATACAAAAGAAACAGGTCAGCGCGGGCAGAAAGAAGAGGAGTTCGGCCAACAACCCTCGTATATTCTGCTGCACGTTTTGCTGTGATAAATTCAAGAGCAAATATGACTGGGTGCGCCACGAGAAGTCCCTTAATCTGGACCTGGAAAACTGGTCGTGCGCGCCGTTCGGTGGTTCTGTCATCCTGCCATCCACAGGCCGCACCCATTGTGCCTATTGCAACCAGCTGGATCTATCCCCCACTCACCTCGAGCAGCATAATCATGGAGTCTGTCAGCAATAAACGCGGACTTTCCGGCGAAAAGACCACCTGTTCCAGCATCTGCGCCTTGTCCACCGTCTTGAAACCATGCCACTCACCGACGGGTGGAAGAATGTGGCCACAAACTTCCAGTCCCGTTGTGGATTCTGCGATAGTCGGATGACCGGCTGGGACGATCGAGCTGACCATTTAACCATGCATTTCCGCCAGGGCTGTACCATTGCCCAGTGGAAAGGCGACCATGAGCTCCCGCCGGACATCACCGCTCAAGTGAAACATAGCGTACCTCCATATCTGCTCGACTTTGAGTCTCGAACTTTCGTTCCCTTCTCTGCCATCAACGGTGCTGTCAATGATCATCTTTCTCAGATGCTCTCCCGGGCCAGCTTCCGAAACGTACTGGGCGAGCCTGAGACGACTCCGGACTCGGAAGCTCCGCAGCTGGAGTTGCCGCCAGCCCCCGAGCCTCAATTGGATTGTTACACTGAAGTGCTTACTCGCCACCTGAGTCATTATGCGCGAGAGATAATGAGCAGTGGCGTGGTTCCCACGGACCAGATGTTCCAGTCAGAAGCGAGGCGTATGATGTTTGGTTCTGAAGACCAATGGGACCAAACACTGGCGGATGTTCCGGAATGGCTGGCCAAGTTTCGCCGAGAGCAGGGCAACGATGGTTTTCTGTATGAATAGGGGATATCTTCCTTGGATCCGGTGATCTTACCACAATTATCGGCAGTTGAACGATATGAATAGCCCTCCAACTCCTTGCGTCAATGCAGAATTATGGTCTAATTCAATTACCCTCCTACCGCAAGGCCGCTGCTCTGCCTCAGTCGCGACCCATCCCGAATAAAGGCAAATGGTATCCCTGCCAGGGCAAAAGCCAAAAACCCCAGGAGTGAGCTTGCCCAGTGGATGCCCAGGTGGTTATACATCGGGGTCGCGGCGAAAGGCAGAACCACCGCCATTATGGCCCTAGTTGCACTTGCGGCCGCCTGCGCAGATGCCGAGGCTTCTTTATAAGCATCCGTCAGGTAGTTCAACATGGCGGCGAAGACCAGAAAATAGCCGAAACCAAAGAAGATCCCAGCCATCATGGGTAGAGCTGGGTGGATTCTGCGATAGGAACTCCAGCCGAGCCAGAAAAGCGCTATGGCAACTCTGCGTTGGTCAGTCGAAGACAAGGTGAGCGGGGGAGGTGATCGGTTGAGGTTCATGCACATACGAAACAGCCCCGACACATGCCAGTGGCAGACGACGGTATTCTTCGACCAAAGCCCAGGATTTGCTTGCTGCCATGGCTCTGGTATGAATTGAGGCACAGACAAGCACAAGGCATAGGCCGAGAAGCGAACCGAAAATCACTATTGGCGGAGTGAAGAAAACCAAGTCATTGAGTATTCGAAGTGCTGCACGCAGAGGGGTCAAGGGATACACATACTAGGGATAAATGCCAACCCATTATCACTAGTCGAAAGACGATACAGCCCTGCCATTGTTGAGTGGATTGGATCACAGAAGCAGGATTAGGGACTTGACGTACCTTGGAAGACCACAGGGTAAGCCTGGAAGAACAAGAAAAGTATCCCGTACACGACAGCAAGGTACAGGGATGTGAAAGCAACGATGGGCTTTCTCACAAGCATGAGGAACGGCCGACTGAATATCTTCCTGGCTGAAAAGGCCTGTGCTCCGTGAGGTTGACGGGTCTCCCCTTGAGAGCAGTCCTTCATCGCGTTCTTCTGAAGAATCACGGGGAGCTATGTCTCTGGCAGCAATAGGATAACTGGAACACCAGCCCCAGCAGCCATCAGCGCTACCCAGAATACCCAGCGCCACGAGAGGAGAACCGTAAGCCCGGAGACCAAAAGTCCCGCCATCGGGCCAGCCATCGCCACGAACATAAATATGGCCATGGCGCGGCCGCGTCGTTCCGGATCTTCATAGATGTCACTGTACAGCCCGCTGAGAACGGCGTTGGGGACCGACGCATTGAGCCCGCAGAGAAACCGGAAGGCTAGCAGTGATTCAAACGTCGGTGACAGTGCACACGCCAGAGTGAACAGGGTGAACGCTAGATAGGTGGCGATGAGGACGGGCCGGCGCCCGAGGTATTCGCTCAGGGGTCCGAAGAACAATGGGCCGACCACGAAACCGACGAGGTACAGCGAATTCAGGAGCACGAGGCGGGCATCGCTTTCAGATACTTGAAATGCCTGTGCTATTGTCGGCGAGGCTCCCGAGGGAAGTGAAGCACCCAGAAAGCCATTGAAGGTGAAGATGGTGCCTGCTAGGACAATATGTTTCTTTCGGAGCTGTGTAGATGGACATGTCAGGACGCGCACGAGGTTGAATACTGAGTATGTTTGTGAAATCTTACTTCACTAAAGTCCACAGGCTTCCTCACAGGCGACACTTGCCCTGATGGTATTTCGGCCTCTGCAATCTCAATCACCTGCGAGAGCATCACGGCGTCTAACAATCTGACAAAGGGCTGCGATGATGCCTCAGTTGCTTTACCGTAGTTCTTGTAAGAGAAGTCCTTCTTCTACGGACGGCGCAAACTACCTGATTAGGATATTACTAGTACCTACGTATCAGTAAGTTATATGGATACTGCATAGCGTGTTTCACGCCCTATGGAAGATGAGTCTATAGTTTCAGTGATTCCGCCGGGAGTGGGCCCTGGCACGCCCTTTTTCCATCGCACGCACGCCCTACATGATGGACCCACAAATCCCCGAATTGGAACAGGTGCCAGTGGCATTGAGTGTAGTATAGTGTTCCACTCCAGACTGCCAGTATCTATCTAGTCAATACAATTAACTACTTTCCTCCCGCTCATTTTCGAGGAAATGGCCATCTAGATACCGGGGCCGATGCCGCCTACTCCGTCCAATGTTTGTGATCCGCTGCACGCGCCCGCCCTAACGATTAAGACGGGTTGTCGGACGAGAGAGGATTGCTTACTGGGTGACTTTGAAGATTCGAAGAAGATGATTTGGGCTTTGCTACCCAGTGTACATACAGTAGGTACTTTTCATATGGAGGAAGGCTTGCTCTATGCCCTGAGTTGGTGTTGAATTCATGTAATAGTACGCATTCGCCGGCTAATATGGCTATGTGACCTACTCTCCCCTAAATAGAGCGTATTTGAACAGTAGATGTGTAATGTACTATCCTCCTAATGAAGAGGCAGTAAGAAATCAGATTTCTTGCTGATGATTTCTGGAACCCTTGGTGTTATTGACGAACTGGTGTTATTGCAAGTCCCGAGCGGTAGATTACCATGTCACTTTATTTAAAACTTTGCTTACGTAGTATACTTTCAACCCCTTCATATATTGTGTTTCTGTGTTGTGTAGGCGGTGTGATTTGAACCCGCATCTTCTTCTTATTTCTTATACAGTAGACAGACCAGGCCCTCCTCTGGTCGGAATCTCTTCGATTGCACCAGGTAATTTGGCCAATCGACCGCCTGTGAGGATAAATTCTACAAGTTGCCTTGTAGGCCACAGTGAAATATCCATCTGCATTGCTGTAGAGCTATAAATAGGGTGTGACAGGCAGAATCCCATCGGCTTGAAGCTATATGATCACCACCTGGACTTTTAGACAGTAATGTGCTGGTCAACGCTGTAAGCATAATCCTATGACGTAGTGATAGTGACACGTGCACCGACGTGTCACCGCACCATCTGGCGTATGAGTATTTCACATTGAGCGCCAACAACCTGAAAGTAAATGAAAATGACGCCAGTGAGCGAAGCGACAGTTGGGAAAAATCCAGGGACCCTGCATTGAAAGGGACCTGCGTGGAGCCAAGCCATCCAATGAACCGGTCGGTGGCGGTGGAGCTCCCGATCCCCGATGCTGTGACGTCACCTGTCACTCTTTCCCCATCCATGAGTTGATCGCCTTTAATTCTCCAGCTTGTCGCCCCTCGATCAATTTCCTCTTTCCTGTCCATCTCAGGCCTTTAAGAATTTCCGGCTGAACGACTACTGGGTGCTTGGAACGATGAGGGTGTCGATCATTGCGCGTCAGGCCCTTGTGCAGGCCACTCTTCTCTCAATTGCCTCCGCTATCCCCGCTCCAACGGCTTTCCCCAACACCAACACCAACAACAACGACAACAGTGCCGCTGCCGCCCCGCCAGACCCGGTCATCACCCCTTCACCCGTCGAGTACAACCCTTCTCCAGTCGTACCGGTCGCACGTCGGAATATCTTGAGTGATGTTGATTCGGACATCAACAGTGTCCTCTCAGGGCTTGGGTCGGACCTTCCCTCGTGGGTTGCGTCAGGGGTGCCCAACTTCTTCCAGGGGTTCCCCACGGGAGATGCTGTCGTGAGCTCTCTCGGCCTGAACAGTGCTCAATTGGCAGCACTTCCCACCAATGTCTTGAACATCGACCCCTACGCCAATTGGACCAGCTCCGGCTGGAACGTCCGCTTCCACGGGAACGTTTACAAGCAACCAAACACCTCCGTCTCCGACCTGAACAAGCTGGCCAATGTCTTTCTCGGGAACACAAGTATTCAGGATCTGCCGGAGTCCCAGCAGGCCCAAGCACGCAATTTGACAGCCGAGATTCTGGTGGTTCAGCAGCCGCACGTTGCCGTGAACACCATCCACCTCGAGCCGGCACCGAGTCAGGGAGCCAGCGGAGAGCCCGGGGGCGGCGGCGCATCCAACACCACCGGCGGTACGCAAGACTTGACTCTTCCGTACAACACCACCGTCGAAGGCGATTTCGATGTCTTCGTGCCGATTGACAGCAACGGCCTGACCGCGGGGAATGAAACCTCGGCAATCCAGAGACTCAACACTTACGTGAAGGGCGCATCGATCGGAAACAGTACCGCCTACTTGGTGCCACCCAAGGGTCTTACCATCGTGTCGGACATTGACGACATCCTCCGGGTCACCAAGATCTATGAACCGGAACAAGGCTTGCTCAACTCGTTCGCGCGTCCTTTCACGCCGTGGGAGAACATGCCCGACCTTTACCGCAACTGGTCCATTAACATCCCGGACATGCACTTCCACTATCTGGTAAATTCGGTCTTTATTATCTGCACGTCTTGGATACTAATTGCCGCAGACTACCACCCCCGAGCAAGTGACCAGAAACTACATGCAGTTCATCTACACCCATTACCCTGGCGGCTCCTTCGACACACGTCCCCTTAATTTCAGCGACGTCTCGGCCACCCTGTCGATCCGCAAGTTCCTGCTGAAGAAGGTCTTCGAAACCTTCCCCGAGCGCAAGTTCATCCTGATCGCGGATACCAGCAACAGCGATGTCATGCGGGACTACCCCGAGATGGTGACCGATTTCCCCGGACAAGTTCAATGTATCTGGCTCCGCAACACCTCCGCCACCGACTCGGGCGACAAGTTCCCGTACGACACGTCCGGGTTCAAGAACCTGAACCAATCGCAGTACATGTTCTTCCTGCATCCGAACGACCTCACCAACCTGGATGTCGCGAATGGCCAATGCTACAACCAGTCCATTGCGCAGAACCTGACCTTCAGCTACCAGGGACTGCCCTTTGGGCTTGGGGATGACCCCACCTCGGTCAATGGGTCCGCGAACGGCACCGAAGAGAATGCAGCTAGCGGACTCTCGACGAGGGGGGCCGCTGGTGCGCAGAGCCTGCTGGCCTTGGTCGCGGCGATGTTCACGGCCACATTCATGTTCTTGTAGAATCATGTCGATACGAATCATGTTATAATGTTCTGTACATCTCATACACCTCATATAATGAATTGGGATAGATTTTACTTCGAGTCTTTACATACCTCCAGTCCCTGGAAAACAAGAGTCGCATCCTTAAGGCGAGGTATCCGCGTCATTTCCTGCTGTCCCTTCCGTTGCGCTATTATAGCACCAGATAATACACCTGCATTGACATTGCTATTGTGCGTTGGCAGTCCTAGTGAGAAACACGTCACCTTATCGCATTGTACGATAGGGAGATGGTAGAGGAGCTTCTAAATGGATCCCGGGGATGGAAAGACGAGATCCCGCTTCTTTCCTGCACCTCAGAATTGAGTGAGTAATCTCCTTCCTGGTCACCCGTACTGCCCGTACCGTACATTTGGCCAAGGGGGGGTCTTCGCCGGCTGCAGGGCACGGACCACCCGTTGCTATTCTCGGCGGGCCTGTCTAGAACCTGGGGAGAATTTCGCAAACTCCAACGGTGAGAATAATTTTTTTTTCTGTTCACGGGATCAGGTACGTATGTACGGTATCGAGGGCGACAGTCCGGGAATTGGAGCCAGCGAAGGAAGATGGGGGCTGCTACAGTAGCTGCAATTGATGAATCAAGATTAGGTCCGAAGGCTCCGAGGGGGCATTATGCTGGGCCCGGGTTCCCCAGATGGGAAAGAGAGGGATGTAGCTGAATAGTAAGTTAGTTAACAAGTATGATAGCTTATTTTTATTGATGATTTGAAAGCAACAAAACTCATCCATCCACCCTCCCCGCCGCGTTATGCGTTCTGCTAAATAGTCTGGGGAAAGCGGGTCCCCCGGGCTGGGTCTGGGTCACCTGCGCACGCCCCATGGTTGGGGGTTCCGCTATTCGGCTGGCCGATTCGGATCTACGCACTATCTTCTTCCTGTTTTGTTTTTGGGGATGTGAGATATATACTGTGTATACTGTGGGTTTGGATGAGGGGTTAATTCGAATATTCTGGGGTGGATGGTATAGTACACCACTTCGTAATTTATACTGATCAATTAGTCCAGGCACACCGAGCCGCCATTGGGCTACAGTCCGCTGCAGCCAAACAATCCAGGTCCAGTCTTCAGGTCCCAGGTACCGTACAGGGTTTCATGTGTATGTCAATAAGGGCTTGGCTGCTGTGGAATGTGGACACCTACTCATACTACAGGCAAAATCAACTTTACAAGGGTGAAATACAGGAATCATTGGCTGGAAGGGATCTGGAGAAGGAACCCCGTGACCAGCTGGCAGGAAGATATTCGCCCGAAATAGCCATGCCATGCCATGCCAGACGCCGACAGAACCTTCGAAACTGATTGAATTGGAGCTTCCAGAACCGCCCAGCCTCAGTACTTACCTACCCTCGTGACCATTCCAAGGGTGCTTCCTTTCCGTATAGTCCGGCCTTGCCTCCTCCCCCGGGTTTCCTGATTCGGTAACCCGAGATGTCCACTGTGTTGTACAGCTCTGCTTTGTACACTTGTCTGGGACTTGCTCTTGGGGTTACTGGGACTATTTTATGGATATTGTACCAAAGTAGTCATTCCTATCCGGTTGAGCTGCTGCTTTTTGGGATGGTAGACTTTGGCTTGGCGGAGGCTACGCGGAGAGTATGGCCACCTCCATCACCTCCATGAGAAGAAACAAGAGTCTGGCGGCAATTTCGTTACTTCATCATGATTCAACACCATCCATGTGGGCATTGACTAGTTGTTCGTATCAATCAACTCGTCAGTCTTGTTTCCTGCGGCCCCCTGTTCGTACTAAGTTACTATGTAAATTATAGTTCCTGTAGAATGGAACCTGGAATGGTACCTCTGTCTCGTATACGGTAGTGCTTCATCTCACAGATCGGAAATGGCTGCCATGCTTCACACTTGCCACGACTGCTAGACTGGGCCCAAATCCGATCACGCATTGCATTCCCCGGGTCTGGACCGCGGGCCACAGCTCCCCTCGCTGCCATTACTATTGCTCCGGATTCTGCTTTGTCCTCATGACTTCCCCCTCCCCAGGCCCCGGGTATTGTCCTGCTTTCCTATTGAGGCAACTCCTGGAGTCATCATTGTGTGAATTATTTAAGAAGCTTCGGCGCCCATCACCTTCCAGTCCCCAACCCATCAACCTTGTCGTCTGCGTGAATCACCCGAGCTTTCAGCAAACTACGACGCCTCTACAAAGTTATTCCTGTCTCTCCCTCTCCCAGACAGTTCGAGTACACTACACAATGTCCCTGTCCCTTGAGACCACCGACGTCGCTCCCGCTCCGGTCCCTGTCCCCGTGCAAGATGGCCCAGCTCTCGGCTCCAAGTCGCGGATGCCCGAGTTCAGCCTGGCTGGGAAGGTGGTCTGTGTCTCCGGAGCCGCCCGCGGATTGGGGTTGACGCAGGCCGAAGCTCTGCTCGAAGCCGGGGCCAAGGTGTATGCGCTTGACCGTCTTGAGGAACCCGTGAGTTTGCACTACGAAAATAACCAGCTGTTAATCTGACCTGAGACCCTCTAGTCCCCCGAGTTCGCCATCATCCAGAAACGCGCGCAAGAGGAACTGGGAACGGAGCTACACTACCGTCGCATTGACGTGCGCGACACGGAACTGCTGAACACCGCCATCGAGGCTATCGCCAACACGGAGTGTCGGATGGATGGGCTGGTCGCCGCCGCGGGGATCCAGCAGGAGACCTCTGCATTGGAGTACACGGCCGAGGACTCGAACCGGATGTTCGAGGTGAACGTTACAGGGGTGTTCATGACCGCGCAGGCCGTCGCGAAGCAGATGATTCGCTTTGGGAACGGCGGCAGCATTGCACTGATTGCCAGTATGAGTGGTACAATCGCCAATCGGGTATGTGCCTGTTCGACGTGACTTCTCCCAGTTTCCCCGCTTTTTTCTTCTGTGGGTGGGAAAGACCGCGCCACCCAGTCTCCCCCCCCCCCATTTGCCATCTTGACATCACGTACGTGCCCCGCTGACTGTTCTGGAAAGGGTCTCATCTGTCCCGCATACAATGCCAGCAAGGCGGCTGTGATCCAGCTGGGTCGCAACCTCGCCATGGAGTGGGGGCAGTATAACATCCGGGTCAACACGATTTCCCCGGGATATATCGTGACGGCGATGGTGGAGCAGCTGTTTGTGCAGTTCCCCGAGCGTCGTGAGGAGTGGCCGAAGCACAACATGCTGGGCCGACTGTCCACGCCCAACGAATACCGGGGCGCGGCGGTCTTCCTCCTCAGCGACGCCAGCAGCTTCATGACGGGCAGCGATCTGCGCATCGACGGCGGTCACGCTGCGTGGTAGATGTCTGTTTTTGGTGCCTGTTTTCTATGGGTTTCTAGTTGCTGTGTCGCATGGCGTTCATCTGTAAGAGCGACGCGTTGATTGACTGGGATAATTGTTTACAATGACGCACAACATCTAAAAGGGGGGGACTAAACATCTCTCATCTTCCTGTTTAGCGTTACTGGTGTCTGGGTTATTCAACTTTAGAGCATTGCAGGGATGTATCTAGTATGACCACATATGTACACAGTGGTCTGACCATAATCTAATGAAGGCTGATCATTTTGATCTGGGGATTAGTCATGTATCGTCTTCGCAATTGAGCTCTTGGCTCTTGGGTTATCCCTTTCTAGAGGACCATGCTTACTACCTACTACTTGTACTGTAGATCAACCCACCCACTTAGCGTCCGATCTGGCATGTCAGCCTGGATGCCGGTGCACATGACCCACCCAGTTTATCCATTGGCACATCATCTGCCAGATTCTCTAGTACCCGACCTGGTAGATAACCGGCCCAGCCAACCACTGCAAACCAGATGAGAGAAGAGTGGTTGCCCCTCCATCTGGGGAAATAAACTCTTTGCCCCGCACCCGCACTCGGCCTACACACATCGCTATCGAGGTCGTCACCCACGCGATCATCACTTTTGCCCCCTACCCCGTTCCTCCTCCCCACGGTTTGGATTTTGGGTTATCGTCTAGTCAGGGAGGATGACATCAGCCCCGTGTCATCGACGTCACGGAGGATCACCTACAACCGGTAAGATATTTAGTATAGTCTATAAGTACTAGGTACCTAGTGTAGGCCGACCCTTCCAGGATATGTTCGATTCTGGAGAACACAGTGGTCAGTTGGGTATTCAAAATATTGTAGAATGCGAGCTAGGTAGTGGTTCAGTGTTAGTGTAACCAGACACCAAGGGGATCTCAATCGGTGAATATCGGCGCAACACTGCCCGCTAAACCCGCTCGAGAGTATGTACTGTTAGCACTGTACCCCGCGCCACCTACAGATACTAGAAGTGTTCTCTCCGGTTAAAGCCACCCTCGTTCGTGTTCGTGGCTTCAACTACTTCACATGCACGGAGGGACCCAATGGCGGGGGGAGGGTTATTGTCTAGCCCTGGCAGAAACTCCTGTTTCTCTTGGTATGCGTGAATGCATTACCAAGATCGAATGTTCCGAGCACATCCGTTCTGCGGGTGTGCAGTGGAAAGGAGTCGGAGTGGTGGAGGTGGTTGGCGGGTCCAACTACCCCCATTATGCACAATGTACGTACACACAGTAAGGTCCTCACGTGGATGTGGTATTTATATATCTTTCGGTCTAGGCGTGCTTGCTCGTGGGGATCACCTGCGGGTCTGACCGACTAGGTGGAAATCCGTGGAGCGAGGAAGGACACTAGCCTGGGGCTGTGGCTGGTTGGGGTCGGCCTTGCAATCCAATCCTTCAAGTTTTTGTGTTGTTGATATGGGACCGGGGACATCAGGTATAGCTCTCTGGTCGGGGTGCGTATGGCAAGTGGTAACTTGATTTCCAGTGTGTTGAATGGTTAGGGCGCAGGTGATGCGATCGAGTCTGCGTTGGGAATTGCCAAGGTTATCACCCCATGATTACCCATTCGTAGATTCACAGGGTGTTGTAGGTACAATACTAGGTATACAATGTACATACTGTACCGGTATAGAACAGGGCGGGCCTGCGAATCACCAATAGTTGTGCAGCCTCCTACATCAAACCATCCACGAAACCTCGGACAGAATAGCAGAAATGCACGAGCTCTTACTCTCAGATAAGCCCCAGATGGGAGCTACCATGTCAGGATGATCCAGATGCTGAAATACCCCAAACCCAGGGAAGAGTTGATCATATTCGACGGATCAGTGGATGCAAGGAGTATCTAATCCGCTGTTGCAATTACTGAAAGCAAAGAAAGGAGCAAATGACATCAACAATCCTCGATGGTCTAACGGTCATGATTTCCGCTTGTCAATCTCAGCCCGAGAACAAGCGCGGGAGACCTGGGTTCGACTCCCAGTCGGGGAGATTTCTTTTTCATTTTTTTGGTTGCACTTTGCCAGTGCCTTCGGGTACCTGCTGCGGGAAATATGAGTGTCTTGCTGCGTCTGAATTGGGGATGGGGTGTAATTCGAATGTGCAGAGCAGGCATCTACATGCGATGAACTACGTTCTGGATTGGAGCAGCAGCAGCAGCAGCAGCAGGGTTGACCTTCGGCTGCTCCGCTTGCGTACTGCGGACTATGCCCAAAATGCCGTGAGGCTCACAACTTCGATTTTCCATAATAATAGACAGTGCTCGAATACGTCGCTAAGTATGTAAGCCACACCCGGACGACAGCTGTACTTCGTCTCCAAAGGTCAGAGGATACTTGAGCATCAAGGGAGACTGTCAGACGTGCCGAACATGTGCTGCATAGCAATGACCTGCACAATACCTCCGCTCAACACGAATCCCACCGGTAATAATACACGCTGCTGTACGAAGTACGCACAACCCTAAACCTGCAGCTTGAATCCTGATGTACTTTGACTTTCCCGGGGCATTTGGGAATTGGTTAATGCTGGGAGTATGATTTGAATAATACAGCTCTAACTGCTTCGTCAGATGTAGCTTTAGTAGCTTTAGTATGCAGACTAACATAGATGCGCAGAAGGCTGACCGGATCCTTCAGAGACTTTTGATACTTACCTAGATTTTGACTATCTGTTCACGACCCAGGCTCTAAAGCAGCTCAACTTTGTGGATTCAATTGAATCATATCGGGAACCCACCAATCCCACCCTCGCTTCGCGGTCCAGATCCCGCTCGATTTTCTCCACTTCTTGCTATCGTCTTGGCAAAGACAACACCCCCCAACCGAACCAGGCAACACTGCGCTGCCTGGGAAGTTAATAGACTCTAGACCTACTCCGTCGGGACACTAGCTCTCACAATCCTCTACATATATGTAGCCCGCATCTCTCCATACGTAGCACTCCCTAGATTTTCCACGCCGTGATCCATCTACCATCCGACTACAATTGGAAGGCCAGAATGCCCTCCCTCCTCCATCTCCCCAACGAGGTCCACCTGCACATCCTCTCCCACCTCCACCATGACTGCCGCGCCCTCGCTCTAACCTGCCGCACCTTCCACCGCCTCTGCGACCTCCCCACCCGCAAGAAGTTCCGGCGCGTCCGCGTGCAGCCGGGCAAGAACCTCGACCGCGCGTTCGATCTCCTACTGGCGATCCTCCGGCGGCCGAGTCTGGGCCGGTACGTGCGCCACATTGAGTACCAGGGGGCGGTGGAGGCGCACGTGCCGTACGAGGAGCAGCTTGGGGAGCGGGAGGCGGAGCTGCAGCAGGAAACCGTGATGATGGGGCTGCTGTGGGCGGCGGTGCGGCGGGCGATTGGGGTGGACGAGAGCAATGCAGACGAACAGAGAACGAAACTGGCGGCGCAGGTCATGAACATGCTGATGCAGTCGTCCGATCAGCGGGCGAAGGGGGAGTGGAGTTATACGTGAGTTTCCTGGTCTTCTCCGCAAGCAAGCAAGAATAAGGTGGGGCTGACGATGGGTCCAGGTATCGAGGCATGCACGGGATCTTTGCGGTTCAGGCGGTGGCGGCGCTGCTCGTCTCGGTGGCCCCGGACCTGGAGTCCATGGCGCTCGTGCAGCCCTTCTTCAATTACACGGGGTTCTATCACACGGAAGGGCGGTTCGCGAACCAGAACCGCGTGGCGTTTCCGCTGGACTACATCCTGCGCCGGGCGAACGGCGAGGGGGACGCGACGCCATTCCTGCGCCGGCTGCGCCACGTCTACTTCATCAATGCGGGCCGCGGGTGGATGGACGACGAGCGCTTCTACACGAGCATGGACTTCCTCGGGATGTTCGCCCTCGTCGACCGGCTTCCGGCCATCGAGACCGTCGGCACCGATGCCCTGTGCACGGACGAGAATGGCAAGCCCGGGCTCGAGCCGAATTCGTCCAACATCAGCCGGATCCGTATCAACCATTCGGCCGTCGACACGATGTATCTCGCGTCGGTGATCTGTGCGTGCAAAAGTCTCAGGGAGCTCCAGTTTTCCCTGGGAGGAAGGGCCTCCTCGGACGGAAGCAGCTCGATGCAGAACCCCAAGACTTTCCTCCAGACGCTTCTCTTGCACAGGGAGACATTGGAGGTCCTTGATGTGGATTTCGAGGCCAACATAAGTGAGTTCTGGAATGATGACGAAGAGGACACGGAGCCGGATTTTGATACATACGGCGGACGGTCAGAGGCGCATCATAGCTGGACGGGCGCGCCGCCGGACGAGCTGTGGGACCAGAAGGGCTCGTTGCGGAATTTCACTTCCCTGACCCATGTGAGCCTGGGACTCAAGACTCTGCTATATATGGCTAGAGGGGTCAACTCAGCCAGACCGTCAGACTTCAAGCTGGCCGATAACTTGCCGCCTAATCTGGAGTATTTGCTTATCCGGGGCTACGAGAGAGGTCTTCGCAAGGACCACGACGAGCATATAGATGGCTTACTGTCCTTGAAAGAGCGCGAAGGTTCCAAGCTGCGAATGATCAGGGGCATTGACGAGTTGATCCCGCACGCCGAGGACGTTGATGAGCCCGACGATGAGTCGGCTGCGTTGTGGGAGTGGGAGGAAGAGGAATGGTCAGAGGACGAGTGAGGGGATTCGCGTGTAGAGAGGTGTATGTAGCCCTCTCTGTCCTGATAAACAATAAAAAGTGGCTGCAGATATCGGGCCGATGGCAGCTCCACCCCATACTCTTCTGTTTCTAACCGAAGGGCGCAGTTCGGTTGCACCCGACCGCCCACCCAATCATCAAGCTTCATCTTATCATCTTATCCGCATCGCAACACATCAACTGATAAGATTGAGATGTTGCTGCTTGCAACGTACCTGGCAGTCTGTGTAATGGACCCAAACACTTATCGCATCCTCAATGGGTCGCCAATGAGGTCGATGGTCGGCTCAGCAGAGTGGAGGTACGAAAACAGATACCAAATTCGGTGGGGTAAATGCACCATGGCATAGACACCTCCATCCTCG